AGATGATCCCGAGCAACTCTCGAATTGCTTAGTAAGTTTCTGAGCTTTTTCCGAATTTGTGATCAAAATTACCACCTTTAAGCGCTGGAATAGGCTTTTGAGGTTTTTTTCAAATTTTTTTGTGAGTTTCCAAAAGGGTTTGGAACTCGGGTCTAATTTAGAAATATTATTTTCAAAAGTTTTGTTCCTCAGGGCAGAGAATCGCTTTTTAATTTGTTTTTGCAAATCCCGTAAGATAGCTTTCATGGCAGGATCGCGTGTTCTTTGATGTTGCCTCCTACGGACATTTTTAAGACGGATCAAGATCGTTGTCTATTGTAATTGAATCGAATTTAACCTCGCATTTTGGTACTGAGGCAGCTCTTGCTGCAACTTAAGTAGTCAGGGATTCAATAGCAGAATTAATTAAATTTTCGATATTGCTCTTAATCAGCTCTATGGTAATTGAAGGTAGGGCTGTTGGGATTAGAAATTATTTCTTGGGATATTTCAAAAGTTACTGGATGGTGATCAGAACCGAAGTCAGCATGGGTAACCAATTGGCTACAAAGTTGACATGAATCAGTTAAGACCAAATCAATAGTTGAGGGATTTCTTGCAGAAGAAAAGCATGTTGGGCTGTTTGGATATTGAATAGTGTAATAACCTGCAGAACAACCATCAAACAGAATATTACCATCGGAATTGCTTTGAGCATTATTCCATCAGCGGTGTTTTGCATTAAAATCACCAATAACGAAGAATTTAAACCTATGACGGGTAAGTTTCTGAAGGTAACCCTTGAGAAAATTCTTTTGCTGGCATACGCATTGGAATGGCAAATATGCAGCTATAAACGTAAGTTGTCCAAATTTTGTTTCAACAGAAACTCCCAAAGTTTCAAAAACTTTGGTTTCAAATTAAGAAAGAATTTTATGTTTGATTCGTCTATGAACAATGATGGCAACGCCACCACAGGCTCCATCAAGACGATCATTTCTATAAATGAAATAATTTGCGTCGCTCTTAACCTTATGGTCAGGTTTAAGGAACGTTTCAGTTATAACGGCAATATGCACGTTATGAACTCTCAAAAAGTTAAATAGCTCGTCTTCATTATCTTTATACCCCGGACAGACTATGGCTTATATCATGTAATATAGGCTGTCTTGCAATGAGCACTCATACATAGGATTTCCAGTGAAAACTAGATATATGAGTGCTCATTGCAAGACAGCCTATATTACATGATATAAGCCATAGTCTGTCCGGGGTATTAAGAGATCGAGCATTCCAATTTAAAATATTTAATGATTTAAAAGCCATTACTGAATTTCAAAGTCACATTGTTCGCAAATTTTACTCCAGTTTGAATAGCATCAAACATGGAGTTAGTTTTAAGCATATCAGTAATCAACCGTTCCCTTTGCTTGTTAGATTTATTTCAGTACAGACAACACAAAGTTGTTGTTAGAAATTGTGTTTTTCCATAAATCTGCCCATATTGCAGTGCATGGACACTTGTTAATAATTAAGGCATCTTTTATGACAAAAAGTTTAATAATTTTCAAAAATTGGGAATTTTGAGGAAACATATTTTTAATTTTAGAAAGAATTTGTTCACTGCTGGAATGAAACTTTGAATTTTTAAAGTTTGGTAAATTATCTACAATTTACTACAAGACCAGATGTTAGTATTTTTATCTTATAATGTTTTGTAAAATAATAGAAAAAAAATGTTGACCCTAGGTAATCCATTTTTTTTTTCAATGAAAATCAGGAGGAACACAAGTATACAAAGTTGCTCAGTAGACACTATTCATCCACAAATTTAAATCATCATTGGAATCTGTCAACCCATACATGCTTTGGAATGAAATTAATCATAAAATGAAGTAGCCAAATTTGTCTGAAATAGCCTAAAACAACGATTATCCCTCTCAGATTTTTATAAAACTTTGCTTAATTGTTCACTATGGAGCAGTTTCAGGCCATAAATAGCAAAAACAAACTTTTGGCTCAATCTTCTCAGATGTGCATGATCCACTGAATAATTGTGTATTATGGGCAATTATTCACATTTCTACTAAAATTCGGCCAGTTTAGATCTTGCATTTTTTTTTTAAATGTTGTATTTGACATCTTTAATAAATCGTAGCATGAAAACGTCACTTCAATTCAAACGTCTGAGACAAAGTTGTAAAAAATAGGGTCTTTCTTGGAAAAACATACACGGTATTTTGTATATTGAGAAAAAATTCCGAAAAGGTGTTAAAAACTAAAATAACTCAGAATGGCCTTGTTTGATATTTTTTTAAAAGTTTATGAAAAATACAAAGTATTGAAATATTGGAAATCTTGGATACTTAAAACTTACAAACACCGTTAAACAAAAACTTTTGGTAATTTTTTTTTTATGAAAATGGCTTAGTGTACACAAAACGTCCAGTAACTAAAAAATGATTTTAAGGGTCTACGGTAAGTTGCTTTTATATAATAAAATAAGGGGACGGCTCCGGCGTAGTGGTTAACATACATACTTCGCACACCAAAGTCACGAGTTCAAATCTCATCCCAAGACAAATCCCGAATGGCCCAAGAGTGTTAAAGAGACTATAATAGGAATAATAATAATAATGACCTTTTATTTTGAAAAAAAAAATGGCAAAAGTTTTTGTTCCACGATTTTAATCAATTTAAAAAAAAAATCAAGGTTTCAAAAGATAGCATTTTTCAACAAGAGAAGCGCTCCGAACGAATCAATTTTTATCTTCATCCGATAGGCCGAAGTGAATTCATTAGCGTTTCAATGGCATTGCAATGCGTTGGACCGAGTTTAGAATCCGTAGGCCGAGTTTGGCGTCAAGAAGCAGTGTTAGACTTTTGACAATATCTCAACGATTGGTTTCTCTTTATCAAATCTTACGGTACGTACGGAAAGGTAAATAAATTTGGAAGCCATCAGTGATAATAACATTCCGTTTTGTGCTAAACTGCGCTAGATTAAGAAAGACTAAGTGTGGGCTGTCCTTAATAGGCCGGAAATGGGGTAGTTAACCCTATTATCCAATTTTGCATCCAAATCGAAGAAGATCGAGTCATATTTTTTTTTGTATGTATGCAAAGTATGTGTTTCTATTTTAGCACACAAAAGACAACTTCGGGGGACCTGCAACCAAGGTTGCAAATACTCATTTCAGCTAAAATAATGTTTTTCGGAATAATAAAACCAAAAGATGGTATGAAGACATGTTTTACTTGTAACTTACAAGAAGAGGTTACAAAGTATGCGTTTGAAACATTTTTTTTTTCTTTTGTTTGTTTTTTCCGTCGATCTTGTTTTCCATGCTGAGCACCAATGCTACCGACGTGCCAGGAAGGCAGCTCCCACACCTGGACCCTACCTATCGACCCATCAACTCATGAATCGGGGACCAACGACATACCCCATTTAATTCCCATCCGAAGGAAGGCGTGATCAGAGATGTTATGCCTCAGAACATCCCGGCGGCGCCGACTGGTATTGAACCCAGGCCTGCTGGGGTGAGAGGTAATCACGCATACCACTACACCACCGGCGCCGTTTGCGTTTGAAACATAAAACCTGTAAATTTTGCTTTCTATGAGTCACAATCAACGATTTGCTGATCGCTGAGTGAGTGAGTGAGTGAGTGAGTGAGTGAGTGTGTGAAAAATCGCTGATTGTGACTCTCATGAAGTGAAATAAACAGGTTTAATATGTCAAACACATTCTTTGCAACCTCTTCTTGTATCTTACCTATTCAAAATATGATCATAAACAATCACGCTTACCACTACACCACCGGCGCCGTTTCCAGGAGACTTGCATGCAAACATTTTATGGAATTTCGGAGGTAAATCTGGGAAACTTTAAGGATGAGCTATCGTTAACTTCATAAAAAGATTTCCAACGAGCACCCATACCTCTCATGCTAATGGTCACGAGTGCAAATCTGGATCAACAATAGAAAAGGGCTCATCAGCATTTGTAAACAAATCGTTCCAAAGCCCATTCCTCACAAATCGAAGGCCGCCCACACAAACCAACACCATGATCGTGTGGGTAGAAGTTTACCCTATAACATGTATAAGCGAAGACAACAAATCAAGAAGACTGGCAACTTTGCCAGAATCCAAGCGACAGATACAGTGGCGCTGCGCTTAAGTGAAGGTGGAAGCAACGCATAGAAAAATGAGCAAATACACAAACCCTTCTTCTGAGGATGTAATCTTTGCTATCAAATTCGTTCGAAGCATTTACCTTTGAGCGGCAGATGACGCGATTGTACCTGTCTCATAGCGTTCGTATGAGAAAATGGAAGAGTTGCCAGTCTTCTTGATTTGTTGTCTTCGGTATAAGATAAGTTTGTTCGAGACTTTTACTCAGGGGTCCACGAGAAAGTCAAATAAAGTGAATTTTCTCAGTCCTAGAAAGTCTTGCTGCACAGTGTTATTAGATTTACGTAGTTGAAGATGCTAATTTCAAATAACAGACTGTAGTGGTAATTTTTATACAATAGAAAAAAAAACCGATTTGTACCTTCCTTAAAAGTTGTCCTAGCTCGCTATTCTAATATCTATATGCAATCTTCACACTGCCGTACTCTAACGGAACTATCAACTCTATGCTTTCATCTACTCCATCTATCGTATAAAAATTACCACTACAGTCTGTTATTTAAAATTAGCATCTTCAACTATGTAAATCGTTGACTTCACGTAGAAGTAATACTAAAACATATAGTCAAAGTATTAAAATATTGTTCCTCGGCAAAGTTCGAGTGGTTGAAAACATCATTTTAAACTGCTCGAATGATGTGATCCATTTTAGAGGGGGTATTACCACCGGCGAAGTAGCTATTACCTCGAAACGGTGATTTATTACATATTGTGTATGTTATTTATGCATAACTGTAAAGTAACCTTCGATGTTTTTAGTAAATTCTCTCATTTAATAAAAAGAAGATCAAATCAATTGATTACATTTGTTTCCCCCACAGTGAATGATGACTCCAGAGTGGGACATAAACGATGCACACATTCCCTTTGTGCAGGACGTTTCATACGATAACTTCAACGATTGGGCAGATGGGCACTGTCGATATGTCTACCTTCCAACAGACGACCAAGCTCGAAAGCACATTTCAGGCTGGGCAATGCGAAATACCAATAATCATAATGTAAGCATTCTGAAGAAAAGCTGCTTGGGGGTGCTTATATGCTCGGCCCGTTGCCGCCTTCCGAACGGAAGCCAAATACATCTTCGACCGGCGATATGTGATAAAGCCCGCAGAAAACAGCAGGGCCGAGCGTGCCCCAATCGCAACTGTAAAAATGGCCGCCTAGAGGTGCTGCCCTGCCGGGGTCACTGCGGATACCCTGTCACACACTATTGGCGACACACAGATAAAGCCATTTTCTTCCAAGCCAAAGGCAGTCATGATCATCCAAAACCAGAATCGAAGACTTCGGGAGAAACAAGAAAGCTAGTTGGGGTTTCATCAAAGACCAAGGCCAAGAAGCTATCCGTGCTTTTACTGAGGGATGCTGCACTTGAGAATAAGGTAGGATATTTCGACAGGTTTCCTATGCTCAGCCTAATTTTGATATTACTCCTCTAGCTTATGTCGCTTAAAAACCAACCGACCAAACCGACCAATAACGTTTCTGGGGAAATTCTTCAACCACCTCCGTTGATACCGGACTCCGATATAGGTACGTAGATTAACATTTCGGAATGTAGAAATTTACTGTATTCTTAATCAATTTCAGACAAACCAAAATGCCAAACTTGCTACAAACTTCAGTGTACATGCAGAGCCGCTAATGTTGGTTGTACTTTATCCTCCAAAACCAACGATACGCTCAACTCTAGCAATGCGTTCCACGATAATGCCTATGGATGTTCGCAGCAGACCACGTGGTCTTGCTACCCAAACGCGCCCGAGAATCAAATCTACGATACCTCTGGTTGTGTAGATGGGCAAAACATACCGGGATATTCAACAAACGGTATTGAAAGCTTTCAACCGGACGAAATTTTCCAACTGGATCAGCCTCTAAGAACGACCATTCAGCAACCATCCAGCATCAACCCTCCACCAACCACGCTCCTAGACCTTGGTAGCGGTGCAATTTATAAAAAGTGCAACCAAATAACTCCAGATTACTTTATCGGAGGGAATGGAAACTATTTCGGTGACAATTATCTAGGCCATGTGGGAGCTTGCGGTCCAGCGTTTGACAGCAAAATGTCAACCCAGGGTAATATGTATGCGAACAAACCAACAGGGTCTTCAATCAGCCATGCACCGACTCGCTCTACGTATTCCTTAGACGTGGCAAAGAATATAAAAAAAGAAGTTGGATCAAAACCTTACGAATGTAACTTTGCTCAAAGGACACGATACGACTGTGATAATCAATTGGCTTGTAAGAAGGCTAGTAAGGTAATCGGGTCTACGCATGGCAACAATAATAATAATAGTTCCGGTGGCCAGTACGAAAGGACTCAAACTGCTTATGGCCCAACATGTGACGAAGTCAATTACTGCTTCCAAAATGAAACAGGTACTTATCAGCATAGCTACAACGTTAACTACGTATCAACCAGTACTCTCCAACCGGATATGGCCAGCGGTAACTTAACGAACACCTATTCTGAAGATTGTTACCGTTATCCTGGAAATGGTTATGCAAGATCCGGACCCCATGGCACCGGAAGTGGTTCCAACCTTCAACCAACGAGTTCTGAAGTTCCCATTGCCCCGTATGAGTTTTACTAAATTAAGTATTTAAATCGTTGTATTGTCATTAAACTAGTACTTAAATCGTTCATTTGTTTATTTCTATCACACGCCAAAGCGATAGAATACATGTACCTACACTGGAACCTTTATTTACGAACCAAACAGGGGGTTCGTAAGTCGAATTAGAATTAGAGTTTTCGCGAACTTTTCCATCACTGGCAGTATAGACTGGTCCACATTTATATGGGGGAAATATTTTATCATTTTTTTCAACAGGCCAACCCATAGATTTGTGCCATTAAGTGAAAAAAAAACACTCTCTGAAAATTTCAGCTCATTCGGATATAACACGAGCTGGCGCTTTTGATTTAAAATTTATATGGGGATATTGATTGAAATGTATGGAGAAATTATATTCCTTCTAAGAGATGAACTAGCCTATGGCTAAAAATCTCTCTAATAAAGAAAAAAAAAATATTCCTTCACTCTTTCGTGGTTCTATTCAAACTCGATTAAGCTCAGAATTTCAGTACACGTAGCTTAAACTATAAGGAACAACTTTGCTGAAGACAGCACCAGGATTTAAGTTAGTACCGTATGCGTGATAATGTTTGCACCATAGAGCAATGTCAAAATTAAAAAAATTCTCAAAAATTTCGTTTTCGAGTTTTTTTTTTATTTATTCAAAAGGGGAATGTTTCTCAGAGTCTTAAATTATGTTAATCATCGATCGATTTTCCACTTGCTGCAATTACGGACTCCACACGCTTCCGGAATGCACGGCAGGTTCTAATAATGTAGTCTGGATCCATTTCTCTCCAGATACGGGTCGATGTTTGTCTGAGGCTTGCTGTACTCGGGTGGCGTTTAGAACAGGCTTTGGCCTTCATGACGCGCCATATTGAGTTATCCAGTGGATTACGATCGGGGCAGGATGGCGGCCACATATCCTTCGTCCATAACGGAAGATGTTCCTGCAACCACTTCTGAGTGCGGTTTGAGGTGTGGCACGTTGTTGCAATACAACATTTGGCTTCGGACCGTACTGTTCTTTGATCCACGGAAAAACATATTTACTTAAAATCCCGACGTAGACCTCCGTGTTGACCTTGTCGCCTTCTGGAATGAACACCGGATCCATTTTTTGCCATCGGAAGCCACCAACCGAAACACCATAACGCTAGTAGGATGCTTGGTCAGACCGGAAGAGAACTAATATACCGGTCGGTTCTGGAATGTGATACGGGGTCTACGGTAAACATGCTCTCGTCGGTGAACAGGATTACCGGATTTTTTCGCAAGTTCAAGATTTTCTTGCATCGTTCTACTCGTAGCTCCCGGATGCGGTTGGTAATCATGTATGTAAGTTTTTTTTCCGTGCCCTCGACTTCGCCTCGCAATCTTCCTTTACGATCTTCCGTGCCGTGAAGTCACTGATCCCGTGTTCCTTTGCCATTTTCCTTACTGAACGCACTGGATTCACCCGAATCTTCCTTTTGATAGCAGCGATAACCTTCGCGGATAGTTGTCCTTTCTTTTCTCGGTCCAAAACCCTTTTGACGGTCCACCGGGACAGCCCCACGGCGATTGAAATGTCTTTTTGCGACATTTGCGCGTGGAACAAATCACGAATACGCTGCCACTTCGTCATGGTGCAACTGTCAAACTAAGTAAATCATTTTCTTTTATACACATCCTACTACGGTATGAGTTATAGGTTACGTGCATGCAAAGAAAACCAAGGTATTATTGTATGCACAGGTGAAACGGGAACCTTATTTGTACGATGGTGCAAACATTATCACGCATACGGTACACACTAATCCAGGCCTCCATTGTTCGGTAAATTTTGAACTACAGAACTGTTCGGTAAAAGTTTAAAAATCAGTGAAAAATCCAATTATTAGATAATTTATTCTGAACTTGTACAGAATTTGTTCGGTTTACCCCATTTATTGATGAAAAATAAAATTAAAAATTTTCTTGATTTCTCACGTGTAACGGTCATTTGAAAATTTTACCGACTTGTTCTGCTAGTCTACACATACACAGCCAGTACTTGAAAGAATCCTGGAAAATGATACATCTATCATTTTTCTTGTCATTATTAATGCCTGCTGCACATCAAGGATGTGAAACAAACAATAAAGCGGCCAGGCCTACTGTGTAGCGTTTAGTTAATTTTTGTGGAAGTGAATGTTTACCATGTCTACTTAATAAGTATAGACAGTGGTTAACATTTAATCCACAGGTAAACAAAGAGCGGGGACATACCGTACCAACCGCTCCGTATGCAGGATTTGAAAATAGGCTATATAAATCGTTGGGAGTGACAGAGCTAAGAAAGTTAATGTACACTCCTTGGTTGTCCGATCTCCTGGGATGGAACACAGGTATTTACCCCTTGTGTTCGAGCGTACAGTCCTCCCTCCGTACAAGCGTGGAGGGCACCGCCAACCCACTGCCATCCCTCAATCGATCCAGCCGACCTCAGTCGAAGGACAACAGAGAGCGGTGTGCGGACGTAACCTATACGGAGGGAATGCTGTATTCGCCTAGGTTATAGCGCCCTTGCTCGCTACCATTTTCTTCTAGCGGTTGGGACCTGAGCACTAACTCTTGTCCTAGCCCTATATGGCATATGGTTATAGCGCCATTACTCGCTTTCTGAAAAGAGAAGAAGGGAAGGGAAGGAGAGGAAAAGGACTTGGGAAAAGGAAATGCGGAATTCCTTTCCTCATTAGTATTTGTATCGTCAACTTTTATGAAAACTATATAAATCATTTTAGGAAAATAAATAAAACTACTTTATGACTCAAAGTGCAATGAATGAGCGTTAGTTTCGGGATCATTTCAGTGTTAGAGTTATGTTAGTTTTGATCCGTAATCAGCCCTGCCGACCCCTCCAACATTAGTTGCAGTCAGTGCTTGTTAGATTATGCGGCACTGTAACTACTACTATTTTAGAGGTATGATTCGTCAAGTTTATACAACTCAATGTTTCAATTGAGGCAAACCATCTATCTTACAATTACAAAAGCAAACCTAAACTTACAATTATATGCAAATGCAAAATGAAACTTGACAAATCATCGTCAATCCCCTTATTCTAGGGCAGGGCCTGACGATTTGAATCTAATTTTGATCAGTGAACGGGCACCATTTGGTACATTTTCTCACCATGAACCTATCATTTCCAGCCTATCTGAACTATTTAATAAATGGAAGCCATAACATGGGTTACGCTCCCCCTAAGCGGGCCCTCCGCATCCTGTCTCTGTCTTATCTCAAATACAAAATGCCAATGGTATGAATGTATCTATATATATAACTTGGAAATGACGTACAATCAAATAAACCCGTAACCCACTCACTTGGTCAGGCTTCAGAATCGTCCAGTGGGCAGTGCACTCTACACTCCAAGTTCCCTTTTTTCAAATTTACCGCAAATTTGATATTTTACCCATTGAGTGTTGATTAGTCACAATGAAACATTGTGACAGAAGTTGAGGTTACTAGTGTATTAAATAATCTAGGTCGTATTTAGGATTATATCTGAAAAATCCAAATCTGGGCAACGCCCACCTTAAACCTAAACCTGTTCTAATCCACCTGAAATGACTAACGAATGGAAGACTTTGACTACCCAGCCATGCAATAGTCTCATTCCGTGCCTTATGGCAACTTGATGATTCTATTGCGCTCATCTTTTGGCACCATCCAGGGGAGACTTGGTCCTGTACCCAATGCTTAACTTATCTCCATTCCACTCAGCTACTCGCAATTTCTTGTGATATAGTGGGCGGAATATTATTATATGAGACAATTCAATGCAGACGTCTTTCCAAATTTGGCAGATCGACAGGTAATCGGTGAGTTACCACGATAGTTGCTATTCAACAACTCGACAACGTCCCATCGTCAACGCCTGCTATGAGAATCTCCCATTGCAGACGCCAACGAAATGACGTCATCGAGCCATCGATCAACTACCCTGGTTATCGCCTGGTACCTAATAACACGATGCTAGGAGGCGAACCGGAAGAATCGATGAGCTACCTCCCCCGAAAAATTTTACCGACTTGTTCTGCTGTTCAAAAACCCGGTAAATTCCTACCGACATCGGTGATCTGAATTAAGTGTGTACATCTCCGAGTATATAACTCACAGATGCCTTGTTGATTTCTGGTCTCTAGTGGATTGGTCCTGAATGTGTTTGATATCCTGTTTGAAGTAATTCTATTCCTTCTCCTTAGTCCATTGAAATCACGTTATTTCTTTGAGTTTGTACGTGTCTCATGTCTTAACGGAGACACTGCCTGATGCCGATCAAATTTTCAGCAATGCGGACTATGTTAGTCATTATGATGATGCCTCTGTAACTCCCAATCCTGGTAACCCGGAACGCACCGTAGAAAGCCCCATAAAAACCCCCAATCCCTCCGTCTCAGTCCTGCCATCAGCAGCCTTCGATCATCATAGTCGTTCCGGACCTGCTGTCTGATGTGGAGAGGGGGTCTTCCAACTCACTCACTATGGCGAGTATCCAATGAGACTTGATGATGGTCAGTTATTGTCTGATGTATCTGTGATTTCCAGGGTCGTTCGATTCCTTGCAGCAAGCAGGACGTCGTGATCTTCTACCAAAACGCCGGTGGAATGAATTCTGATGTTGAAGAGTACCGCTGTATCGGATTGTTGCTAGGATGTAATTGTCCTGTGCAAACGTGGCTCGATTATCGAACGCTTTCCAGTCAAGTCTTCGGTCCTGACTACGAGGTCTTTCGTTGCGATCGGAATCCTAACAACAACCGCAAATATACTGATGGAGGTGTCCTTGTAGCTGTCCGTGGCGGGTTGGAGGCAAAGGCCATCGAGAACGATTCATAGAACTATGTGGAACAGGTTTGGACAGTCATCAATCTGGGTGATCGCATACTATTTCTATGCACTCTGTACATTCCACTTGATCGATTCCGGGACAATGAACTCATCGATACTCACTGTCGGTCAGTTTTCACTGTTATCGAAAGTGCCACTCCAGTTGATGAGATATTAATTTTTGGTGACTTCAATCTGCCAGGCGTTTCGTGGAGTCCATCTCATAGCGGATTCCTGTATCCAGATCTTGATAGCTCTACATTTCACGCAGGAGCTATTAGCCTTCTCGACAACTATAAGCGCAGTGACGCTTTCTCAAATTAACCATGTAGTTAACGAAAATGATCGTAGTTTGGACCTCTGCTTCGTGAGCACACAGGATATGGCTCCATCAATATCCTCGGCTCCTTGTGCACTAACTAAGCTAGTTCCACATCACCACCCTCCTCTAATTGTCACTGTTGAGGACAAACTCGTGCGTGATTTCGACGACTATCCTGCTACGGTTTCTTATGACTTCCGTAAAGCAGACCACCGCAGCATCATAGATGTATTGTCTAGCATGGTATGGGAGAACATATCTATAACAAGCTTAAACTCTATACTATCGACTGCTTCAAACAGAACTATGTTCCGTCAACTCTGTGCAAAGTGAGCAAAACTGTGTATGCCAAGCATGGTTATGACCATGCTTGAATGTATTTGTTTTACCATAGTTGATAAGGTTGTTAACATCATTGGGGCTTCATCCAGCCTGTTGATGTAAAACAACAATAAACAATAAACAATAGAAGCACACCACAGTGGAAATCCCGAGCCATAGTTCAAACACTTATCCCAAATCAAAATGAAGCACATATAAGATTAGTTATAATACCATGTACACAAATGGTGTGGAACGTTGTTCCCTGAGTAATACTTCAATGAAAACAACAATAAAAGCTTGTCACGCAAATAGAAGGATCACTGTTGGGCACTTACTGAAATACTTAAATCTATCTGCATAAAAATAAATAAAATAAGAGTGATTTGCGGAAAAACCCGCTAACGTCAGTGCCTATACGTAAAGCGTACTACAACGCGGCTCTCAAACAAAAGAGTAACAAGTGTGATACAATCACTGCTAGACTAGATCTTTGGTTCTCTCATGCAGTGGTTTATCACAGAGAGGAAGCTTAAAAATCCCCATTGCCTGCCCATGGCGCCATTCTATCGCGGCATGAGCCAGCAACGCCGGTCATAAACTTACCGTCTCCAACACTCCACTATAAAGCATGAAGTTCAGCCCGCCCACCAGCAACAAGGTGCAAAAACTAGCTAGATTTGAGATGACATTTTGAAGAAAAAATTGTAAACAACTTTTGATTTAACTTGCATTACATTGCTGATTTATGAAGAAAACGTTATGAACTTGCAATACGGTGTACAAACTCCTATAAATATCTACTATATGGCATATATAGAACATGCAATTGTTAAGGTGGCACTCTTGCCCCACCAGACCCTATTTGTTGGACTTCGGAAAATTTCAAGGTTTCTGGCGCACAGTTCTACACATAGGGTTTGAGGTCAATCCTATATGGGGTTAAAAGTAGCAACGTTGAACCTCGCTATAAACAACGCCTAGAAATCCGATCTACAGATATCCTACAGAAGATCGTAACTTTTCCGGGGAACTAGTGCTTTCTGGGAAAAGTCGTACCATCATCCCACCACTTATCTCTATAGTCCACTTCTCCAAGTGCACCTTACAGAATGCTTTTAGGACATGTGATACAGACTGAAAACTAGTCTTCCTTTGTGTGCATAATTGTCGAAGGAATCGATAAATTAATTTATTCAATGTGAAATACATCTAAACTAGACCAATGTGAAGAATTTCGCCACTCACTTACCTAACACTTGGTATCGAACACATCCATAAAGGGGAAACTGGCACGCTCCGGTCGTAGCAAGTCCAACAGGAAGCAAACAGTGCCAGCATAGCCTTCGTACAGGCTAAACGGACGATCCGGATTACGAGCATACCGGATAAACTCCTCGTGCGTTAGGAATTCCATAAACTTAATAGCACGGTGGAGGTATTTGGGGTCTGCTGTCAGTCTATAGAGGAGAAGGAAGACGTATCCGCTGCCGGCTACACCGTGGCATATACCAGGGCCTTTGCGCAGCAAACCTTTGCGCCAGACTAGATCGGCACAGCGAACACATGATTGGAGATATTTTTGGTCCTTGAAGACAATGTATGCTTTGGCCATGAGATATACGATTCCAGGTGCCCCGTGACACCAGTGGACCAGCGTTTCATCTCGTGTTCGTTGCAAATAATCTTGAAGAGTAACGGGAAAGTTTCCTTCGGCATCCTGTAAGGATAACAAACTATTGATAGTGGCACGAACTGCAGCCATCTCGGTGCAATTCGGATTCCCTTGGAATGGTGACTCCAACAGCATGTGCATGATGGAAGAAACTCCGTGAGCCGCTCCCAGGTATTCATCTCCCCAGCAATGATACATCAACGGTATGGGACTACGATGAGCAGCAGAATAACGCTTTCCACTCTCGATAACGACCCCGCAAATAGTATTCAACGTATCGTGTGCAAATAACTTCTTATCGATGGTCTGATGCAGCCAATAGATCCCACTCAAATATCCAGCTCTTCCGAAGAGCAGTTCATCACTTCCATTCTTATTGAAGTCAATCTTCTTGCAGACGGTAATCCCGGAAGCAAAATTTCTAAGATCTTCATCCATCTCTTGCCTGTGTCCCATTTTGTGACAGATGGCAGCCGAAACCGCGTAAATCCCTGCATTTCCGCAGAGATACGAGCACCTCTCTTCAGCACGGGCGGCATAGCGCACGGCTTTACCTTTGGCATTTGCTACGTACTGTTTGGCATACTGCAGGGCATCCGCTCCAAAAAGTCCGCTTTCGTGCAGCCTCAGGAACATGTATGCAATGCCAGCATCGCCCACGTACAAATCACCCCGGTGGTCACTGTTCTTACCCGGTTTTGTATTATCCACGATGAGATTCACGTAGGACTGGATGAGCCCCCGGATGTGGTCGTCATTTTTCACCACCGGACCTCCCACATAGTCCTGAAACGGATTCTGAAAGAAGCGTCCTCCAGCGCCAGACATTCGTCGTGTCGAGCTGCCTCTGCGGCCGAACAAAACAGAATTGACGAAAAATCGATAGTTTATTGACCTGCAAGACGTAATGAGCTTTCAGCATTCGAAAAGTTACGCTTATGTTGGTAATATGAGAGCACTTACTCGGTGTTTAGAGGATAATTTAGATTAAAAGTAAAATTTTCGCTGGGAAAACCTACCTATCGATCGAAGGATCCTTTTGTTCTGTTTATTTTGATTCCTTCTTCGTTTTTCCTGCCTTGCCTGTTGAGTGAGTTGATAGTTCGGAATGGTTGTAGGGATGTCCATGCATTTTCTCAAGGGTGGGGATAATTGGGAATAATTAATTCAATGTTTCGAAATTGTCATCGAACATTTCTTAGCGCTTTTGTTGTTAAGGCCGATTTCTACACCTCCGCTTAAATCTCAAACCAGGTTTACCCCAAATCTAGTTTAAGGTTTAAGCATAGACAAACAGACATAATGCCGCGGATACACTTGTATACGCAGAAAAATTTACCGTCGAAATAAAAATATTTGAGGTAAATTTACTCAGTTTGTTCTGGCCACAAACATAAACTAGGTTGATTTCAAACGTATTCCATGTTTAAAGCCATTGATAATAATGTTTAAAACAAGAGTAATGTTACGTTTACTTTAAAAATATTCGTGAAAATAAACGTGAATATTTTTAGATGATTTGACAACTATATGTGATCAAAATTAAATATGTTTATTTTAAGCATGCTTTTCATGTTTAAAATAAACAAAAATATTTTGAAATTATTTTTGCATTTGAATGCGGGATAAAACAGAATATTTAAAATGGATAACAAATAAATGGAAATCAGCAGACAGGGCATCTAAATTGCTGCTATTTTTCGGTGCGATTTAGTCTATGGGTGTTGGTATCCGGGGGGCCGTCGAGGTTGGTGTGTGGGGGTTCCAGTTTAGTAAAACCGGAGAAACTTTGTGATATTAGCGTCGTTTTGCCGTTTCTGACACTGGTCCTCATACCGGCCTCTTTCTACACGAAACGAAAATCAATTATTTTATTCATGTGTTTCACTTATACATTTTTGCCAAAACATCAGACTTATACTTTCCATAAGACAAACCACATAGGTCCTATAAGAATACATAAAAGGTATGTGTGACCGCTTGTACATTTCATTTGACACATGATCTCCATTAACTTTTTGCAAGGCGTCTGCTTATTAGTTGACTTATACATTTTATGAATAATCAACAATAGAAATTAGCCAAAAGGTATAAGGAGATTTCTATCCGTGTACGTTTGGTGTTGGGGGATTATCTGTTTTTCCTTCGACATCGGGTGGGGGTGAGGATGATATGGTGATCGGAATCAGAAACGACGGAGTGACGTTGATATTGTAGGGTTCCATCGGTTTTGTCGAGCTTGGAACACTACTTGCTTGCGTGGGTTTCCGGACCGGTTTCACCGCTTGAAGCCTGTTTTCGGTTGAGTTTGCCGACTGTAAAACAAGGAAAAAAGGACACGTTCAAACATGTTTACTCAGATTACGTATTGTTGAAATAAATATGCTTTTGAATATAATTCAAACATACATATATTTGTAGAAAACAAATTATCAAATTATTTTAAAATATTCCCATTTTAATATAATGAACATATATATTTTCGATTTGAATGAACGATATTTGGTTAAATACTTACATATATCTATAAGCTGCATACAGGTAGCTCCAATCACCCATAATTGCTAAATTAAGCCCCCCCCCCCTATCGTGACGTTTTTCCTATACCTAATGCATTGCTTCCCGCATAAACGCGAACCATAAATTGACCTTACCTAAAATGGTTAAAAATTGTTTATAATCCCTGCTAAACTTTAACTGAAATGGTTATGGAACTTTACATGAACGTTTAATGATAAAGTTTCAACCTTATGTATTATGGTTTTTTGGAACTGGACCTTACAAATAATGGGTTGTTAAGAACCATTACCATTCCAAATTCTTGTTTTCTCCATACATTTTCAGAAAGAGAACTATATAAGAACGTTTTTACTTATGATTTGAGAACTTTCATGGTAATGGTTATTGTGTCTTCCACTGGGCCAAGGAATCCGCCACCCGGCTTCCGCGGTGCCGAGGAATCCGCCATCACGCTCCGCGTCTGGGAATCACGTCTTACCTCTGCTGCAGCTGGAATACGAAAGAGGCCGAAGCTCGGTGTTGCACGATCGGGTCGATTGCCGGAGCGAGTGTCGGGCGCGATCTGATGGGTGCCATGACCGAGGTGTATGTATGAGGTGGGAACAATGGGCGAAGCGTGACAGGGGCAACGGCAGTGCTGCCGATATATATTAAGGCAACCACACATCTCCCTCCCTCTCAAAAAATAGAAAACCTGGGGATAAGAAAAAAAAAAAAAAACGCCGACGCATTTTTTTTTTTTTTTTTTTTTTTTTTTTACTAGTATTTGTATTTAACTGTGTATTTCATCTGATTTGAAGCCAATAGAATAACCAATCAATTATTGTTTTAAACCGTTTCCTTTTCCACCACGTGAGCATAATTCTTCAAGTAGGCTGGTTTCCGTCTTTCTCTTGTTGGGCGCTGAATTACGTCAGGTTGCAAATCGGCTTTCTGTCCTGTTGCAGCATCAGTGTTACCGATTTCTTCAGAGCTGATCATTTCCTTTGGGTCCCTCCATTCGTAAACCTTCTTGGTTTGTGACACGTGCCTTTTCAAGATTTGTCCGCATTCATCGCTCAAAACTAGCATACCATTCCGTTCTTCGATTACAGTATACTTGCGAGGGTCAAATCGCGACTCCGCTTTTGCGCGAGCCTGACGCTCTACAACCACCGTATCTCCTGGCTCAACTCGACACTGACGTGCTCCTCGCTTAGCATCTTCCCGGTTCTTAGCCTGTATTTTTGATTCCCGGTCCCTTGCGTTAAGTAGATCGTCATCAAACGTAGCTTTCCCGCGGCATAGAAGAGGCAGTCCACGTTTGATTTTCCGTCCCGTCATTACTTCTTCTGGTGGTATCCCTGTGACGGAGTGTGCAGCAGCGTTGTAAGCACGGACCGCCGCATTCAATTCTTCTCTGTAATTGGTTCCAGTTGAAGATGCAGCTGCCATCGCTTTATTAACGAGCTTCATACAACTCTCCGCTAGGCCGTTTTGCTGGGGATACAATGGTGTGGAGAAGATGGCGTTGATGCCGCGTTCAAGGCAATACTGCTTGTACTGTTCCCCATTGAAAGGTGGACCATTGTCCGACTTCATATTTTTCGGAAAGCCTTCCCTCTCGAAAACTTCGTCCAACACGCTTCTCGTATGCTCAAAACTTGTGGATTTCACCGGTTTGGCAATTACGTATCTGGACCGGTAGTCTACGATGACCAGAATCGAGACGCCGCTGAACCGAGAATAGGGTCCGTTAAAATCTAGAGCGATTGTTTCCCACACCGACTCGGGAGCGAATACTCGTGTCATGGGAGTGGGTTTTTCAGGTCTTCCGTTGGTTGCACAAACCGCACACGAGTTAACCCATGCCTCGGCGTCTTTCGCCATGCCGGGCCACCAGACGCGTTCTCTTAGTATGCTTTTGAATTTAGCGATCGATGGGTGACCCTCGTGAGCTATCGCGAGCGTTTTTTGACGTAGATTCTCTGGTATGACGGTGCTACCTGTTTTAACCAGAATTCCTTCACGTACACTCAATTCATCACCTAGTACTTCAAATCTCCTCAGTTGTTTCGGCCAAATGCCCGTTTCAAGGGCATCTACCACCTGTTGGGTTATAAGATCGAAATTAAAAAAAAACGGGATTGATTACGATTCAACAATAACAGTATACCTCTTTAAGTTGCGTATCCACCACTGTAGCGCGTTTGATCTCATCTTCCGTTAGGAATCCGGTCTGGTTCACCGTTCACCTCAAGGGATGCGATTTCCCAAGGGCTAATATCCTCGTCGAAAGGACCATCGACACCTTCATACAGCCTTGACGAAGGATCCGCAATGTTTTCCCTTCCTCGCACATATTCCACATCAAAATTATATGGGCTGAGTCGAAGAGCCCAACCATCTGCCCGGTTTAAAGCTCGCTTGGAGTCCTCACGCAATCTGTTTAAGATAAACGTGAAGCCCTGTGCATCGGTCCGGAGTGTGAAGGGCCTTCCCAGTAAAAAATAGGCGAAGTGCTCCACTGCCCACACCGCAGCCAAAGCTTCACGTTGATTTTGTGGGTACTTCTTTTCAGTCGTCGTGAGGGCTTTCGAAGCGAAGCTTATAACGCGTGGAGGTCTTCTGTTGTCATCCTGCACCAGAACAGCACCTAGAGAATGCGGTGAGGCGTCTGTGTATAAAACAGTTCTGTCCGTTTCCGAGAAGTACCCAAGAGATGTTGTACAATGGGCAATTTGGTCTTTCAATTGTTCAAAGGCCCTCGCTTGCTCCTCGCCCCAGGCCCAAACATTGGAGCTGGTGAGCGCCCATAGCGGCCTGGCAGTATCAGCAAAACCCTGAATGTACGGACTTAGGAAGGAAGCCAGACCCAGAAAACTTCGGAGCTCGGAAATGGTACTTGGCTGTCTGAATCGCCGAATATCTTTGACCTTCGCCTCATCGATGTTGAAACCATTTTCGTCGAGCTCGTGCCCCAGGAACTTTATTCTTGTCCGATCGAATTCGCATTTATCGGTATTCACAGTTAGATTGTTCGTTCTCAGGATCCTCAGAACTTGAGCTGTAGTCTTACGAAGTTCTTCAAGGTTCTCCGCGAAAATAAGAATATCATCAATGTACACAATGATATTCTTCACACCTTCCAGGATTCTCGACATCTCGCGCTGGAAGATCTCCGGGGCACAGTTGACCCCGAACATTAAACGGGTAAACCGGAACATACCGTTTTCCGACAAGAATGTTGTTAGATCCCTCGACGTCTCGTGTAGCTCCAAATGATAAAAGGCGTTGGTCAAATCGAGTTTTGAAAAATATTTTGCCCCGTGGAGTTTGACCTTCATCTCATCGAGCAACGGCAAGCGATAATATTCGCGCTTGATTGCTCGATTTGGTGCCCGCATGTTCACAACTAAGCGGAAGTCACCTTTACCTTTGGCAACCGCCGACATGCCGCTAATCCAATCTGGAGCTGTTGTTACGCGCTCAATTATGCCTCGGCTTTCCATCTCGGCGAGCCTGGCCCTTGCGCTTTCCCTATAAGCCGCAGGTACATTATAGTACGCGTTTTTCGTCGGAGGTACGGTCTTATCAACGCTGAATTTCACGCGGACACCTGGTACTTTGGGAAATTTGGAAATCTGCTCCGATGTCTCCAAGCTGTTGACGTCTACACCAACTTTGAGCAGCTTCAAATCGCTTGCGGTGGATCGGCCCAACAGTGAACGGGTACCTTTGTCGACGACTAAAAACTCAGCATTGATCAATGGTTTGTGGCATCCTTCTACCTCAATGTCAGCCCTGAACGCGCATGTAACAGAAATGGATTTGCTCGACGCATAAGACCGCAAGTCACTGCCCTTGGATGGTTGGATTGGTTCAAGGTTAGCTCTACCTGAATGAAACTCATGCTTTAATCGTTTCCAGTCATCACCGCCAATGGTATTGACGTCCGCCCCCGAGTCTATCAGAAAACGGATTGGATATGAAGATCCTACCCGACAATCGATTAATGCGTCCGTTAGAGAGATTGTATTTAAGTGCTGGAAACGAGATATTAAGGAAAACAATGGCTTGAGCAAAGGAACAGTTTATATTTCATTGGTTAGAAATTATTTAAAAAAAAAAAAAAACCATCGTAAAAACTCATTCATTTACCTTTCTGTCTTCTTCTTCGTCTGTCCAGGATGCACCAGGATGTGCGTGGCTTCGATCAATCCGGACGTTGTTAGCAACTTTCTTCCGGCAAACCACCGCGAAGTGGCCGCGCTTGCCACAAGCGTTACAATTGTTGTTGATTGCCGGACACGATCCAAATTTGTGAAACAGCCGGTTACATTTTGGGCAACGTGAACGACGTCCTAGTCCACGGTTCCTGCTTTCATCTGTATCTCGCTTCTTCCGCTGGGTCCATTCATCACCGGTTGCCTCGTTCTTCCGTTTCCACGCTTGCTTCTCGTTAGAAGGACCTTGTTTGTTCCGTGTCATCGCAAACGCTTGTGAAGTTTCGGGTTGCATCGTTTCCGCCGCATAAGCTTCTTCGCGCGTGGCAGATTGTACGATGAAAGTGGTTTCGTACCCGAAAGTCCTGGCCGCCTTAACCAAATCTTTATTCCTCATCCCTTTTAACAGTTGGGCCCGAACGAACCGATCCTGGTCGATGCTACTATAGCCGCAAAGGCGAACCTTCTCCATCAATCGCGCATGGAAAGCCAGCGCTGGCTCGCCCGGCTCCTGCTTCAAGTTCGTAAATGCCTCGTGCTCTGCTGTTATGTCCACCATTGAACGCAGATAATCCTCGATGTTCTTCACAAAAATGGCATAGCAGTTCGGTTCTCGCAAGCTCGGACGGAGTCTGGCAGCTCTAGCAATTCCTTGGAGCTTCTCTCCCATTGCCAAGAACAAGGTCTGGGCGCGCTTAACCGGATCGTTGATGTTCGAGAGGGATGCAGCGATTTCGAAACGATCTATGAACCGATTCCACTGCTGCCACATTCCATTCGCTGGGACATCATCAGGGAACGGTTGAATGCTTTCCCAGCGAATACTGGCTACGCTCGTTGATGGTCCCGGGATTTCACTGCCGATGTTCCAGCTGTGGTCAACCTCACCAGCGGGCAAATTGGGTCCATTGATTGGTTGATTGGAACGCATAGCTTGCACCAGCTGGTTGAGCGTGTTCTCCATTTGCTCCATCTTTTGGTAGTATTCTTGATTTTCGATTCGCGTTGTCGGAAGCTCCGCGCTTTCAGTCCTCTGGGTGCCTTGATATGAACGTTCTCCTTCAGGTCCTTCGTCGCCACCGATTTCAGAGATAGACTCCTCCGTTTCTTCTCGTTCATCCACGCAAGAATTCCCAGCTTTGTCATTCTCATAACAGCCTTCAGAATCGTGTCTCTTCTTTTCCAGTCCTTCGCAGTCTGATCCGCTCGACAGATGCTCATCGAGTTCTTCCGAATCGCTTTGGAACTCGGGGGCACGAACATTCTTCCCTCCTGACATTTTGTTTTATCTGAAAAAAAAAATGCCGAGAAAACAAAGGTGCGAAACCATGTATAAATTTCATGCTTGATTGATTGGGCAAAAGCTTCAATCGAGGGCCGAAGTTTTAATCATAATTTAAAAAAAAATTGTTTTAGGCATGCTTGTTGCTTATTTATTTCACTTCTATTCTTTCCTTGCAATTTTCATGAGCAGATTGTCACTAGCCGCTTCTATTCATGTCACACGCGGTCGTCTCGAGCCGCTACCATTTCCATTAAACGCGGTCGTTCCGATCCGCTACCAAATCAATCAAACGCGGTCGTCCCGAGCCGCTGCCGTTTCTAGTAAACGCGGTCGTTCCGATCCGCTATCTAATTAATCAAACGCGGTCGTCTCGATCCGCTACCAGATTCACCAAACGCGGTCGTCTCGAGCCGCTACCATTTCCATTAAACGCGGTCGTTCCGATCCGCTTCCCAGTCAAACAAACGCGGTCGTCCCGAGCCGCTGCCAGATGCCTCTATTAGCATTTCGAGTCGTTTGCAACAATTTTTCACACTAACGTCGCGAATCCGAAGTATCCACGCCCGTTCCAATTGAACCACATCGCTCTAGTCCGTTCGGCATCTCCTCATCGGCACTAGCACTCGCGGTATTTACTTTTCGCAATTAGATCGCAACTTTTAGATGTTTCGTTTATCTCTTTGAGAGGGGAAAACTCATGCTAGCACTCCTTATACAAACGAAAACCAAGAAAATAATGCACTTGCGCTTAATCTGACCATCCATTTTGTTTTATGAACCCCCGTCAATTTCGATACGGCTGGCTCGACTCAGACCATGTACGGCAGCCATATTCTTTCACTTTTTTTTTTTTGCACTATCACAATTCTCGTAACATTTCTATGAAAAATCCTCCTGCCACTCGATTACAAAACTCAGTTTTATTGCGTGATGATTGACTCCTCGACCGTTAATAACAGATTCGTGTTTTTCTGCTGAAAATTTCAGCAGCCTGGCACGGATCGCCAATGTGTCTTCCACTGGGCCAAGGAATCCGCCACCCGGCTTCCGCGGTGCCGAGGAATCCGCCATCACGCTCCGCGTCTGGGAATCACGTCTTACCTCTGCTGCAGCTGGAATACGAAAGAGGCCGAAGCTCGGTGTTGCACGATCGGGTCGATTGCCGGAGCGAGTGTCGGGCGCGATCTGATGGGTGCCATGACCGAGGTGTATGTATGAGGTGGGAACAATGGGCGAAGCGTGACAGGGGCAACGGCAGTGCTGCCGATATATATTAAGGCAACCACACAGTTATGGCAGTCAGTAAGGTCCATTAATGGTTTTGTATTATCGCTCAACTTTACGTGGAATATATCGTGAATTGGTAATCAGTAAATTACAGGCAACCAATTCGCGATATATTCCACATAAAGTTGATCGATGTTACAAAACCATTCGTGGACCTTACTGACTACCATAACCATTACCATTAAAGTTCTCAAACCATAAGTTAAAAGGTTCTAATATAGTTCTCTTTCCGAAAATGTATGGAGAAAACAAGAATTTGGAACGGTAATGGTTCTTAACAACCCATTATTTGTAAGGTCCAGTTCCAAAAAACCATAATACATAAGGTTGAAACTTTATCATTAAACGTTCATGTAAAGTTCCATAACCATTTCAGTTAAAGTTTAGCAGGGATTATAAACAATTTTTAACCATTTTAGGTAAGGTCAATTTATGGTTCGCGTTTATGCGGGTTGACTCAAAATCTCCATTTTTCTGTTAAAATTCGCTTAGGCAAATGGCGTCCATCAACGAAGCAGAAGTTTTTTTTACCCATTAATGAGTATAAAAATACACATTTTTTGACTGGTACTACATTTTTAAAATGTGTATTTTTTTTACACATTTTAAGATATCCAAATTTACACATTTTTTTGACAGCTGCATATAACTATAAAAAATGTGTATTTTTTACTCATTTATGTGTTTACGCTGATTACCGTGTAGGTCGACTTTGTCGACCCAAAGCAACGACCGCGTGGGGGTTCAATGTATCGAAACAGGTGAGGGAATGTGAATTTCTCTCGGAAGCATTTACCTGACGGAGTGAGACGTCATATTCCGTCATCCATTAAAACAGTGGAAGAATGAAAGAGACGACAAATTCACATTGCCTAACTTGTCTATTACGGTGCGCGGGATGGGCTTAAAACATTAGATACTCATGTAATAGATTTGCGGATATGTGCCAAACTTTGTTCCTGCACTTTTTGCGATTTATGAGTAAACTAAACTCAAATTTGGGTTGATCGTAATTGTCCGTGCAAACGAGTTTTTTTTTCATATACGATTTGACAGTTCGCGCATCTATTTCATGAGTATCTATACTTATAAAGCTTAAAATCGGTGTTTTGTTGTGTTCATCTTATTCGTTGTTTGACTTGGCAGGACTTAGCGTCGTTTCCTTCGAAATCGAGACTTTTTTTAATTTATTGCCGTGTTTGTACGGATTAGTTCTGCAGTTTATAAAACAATAATAATTTGTTACCTAAGCCTAATATTTGTGATTGATTTAGATTCCAAAATAGCAGGTAGAAACCCGTGTATTTGTAATAATTGCATTGTTCCAACAAACTAGTTCTTTTAAACCGTGGCCTTTTCAGTATGTCGGAGGAAAATAAAGCAACGAAGGTGCGGAAGATCCGCCAGTATAGCAAAGAAAATTTGCTAAAAGCTGTGGAAGCCGTAGGTCATGGCATGAGCTTGATAAAGGCAGCAAAGCAGTTTGGAGTTCCTCGAACGACACTGACTAGCTATCATGAGGACCGCGACCGAAAGGGAAAGATGGGCCCAACATTGACCTTCACCGATGACGAAGAGCAATTGATGGTCAACTGGACACGAGATATGCGCCAGAAAGGGATGCTGTGCAAAAGTTCAGAATTGTTGGAAGCAGCTCGGTGGATGCTGGATACGTACCCAAGGCAGGGGAAACATAAAGATAGAACATTGTGTATGCAAAAGGTACATTGTTTGAAAACGAACCGAATACTCATTTGAGTTCCGATTTCAGCTAGAAGCTGGTGCAAAGGATTTTACCGGCGCCATCCCCAGGTAACTTCATACCTTCAGGATATGAGGGAAGACCAGCTCGAACCGACATCGCAACAGCAGTGCTATGAAAGTGTATTCCAGCAGTTAGACTGCCTAGAGCTGTTCAAGAATGGCTCACGGGTGTTCAAATACACCGAAATCAGATTTGGCCTCGGATCGAATTTTTACAACTATTTGGCAAGTAGCAGTAGCAGCGGCAACGTCAGCCATAAAGCAGATTTGATTACGACGGGTTTTATATCGTCAGCAAAAGGTCGGTTAGCATTTCCCATGATAGTTTACCCGCATGATGGGACCATTCCATTGGATCTGGCTGCCACGGTACCTTTATTTTATGGATATGGAAGCAGCCCGAATGGAATCTCGACGAATGAAACATTCTGCAACTTTGTAACGAAAGTTTTCTATAAATACTTGATGTTGAACAAAGTGCCGCTTCCTGTGATTCTTTTCGTGGACGGAACCAAACCAAATATCTCTCTGGAGCTATGGCATGCGTGTAAGGCACTTGGCATTAGTTTGGTGGCACAAAATCCAGATGAAAGTCTCAACAACAAAAAGCATTTTTTGCCAAACACTGTCCTCACGTCGCACGTCATGACCAAGCTACGTGAAGCACTTATGCAGTGGATGGAGATCAATGGGTGTCGTATAACAGAAAGTAACTATGCAGAATTGTTACAACCGGTAGTGCACAACTCTATTACAGATGATCTGATACTGGCTGATTGGAAGAAATTTAGATTCTATCAGTGGATTATACGGCGTACATTACGCATTGAGGACATTGAGTTTGTCAGCGCAGATCCAGCGGCGATAGAGGGAGATACAACTGAGGCGGATGAAGAAGCAGCGGCGATTATGGCTGAACCAATACTGGGAGAGGTAGAATCAGCAGATAGTTCGTAAATAGAGGTATGCATATCAATAAAATATACATGTCCAGTTAATTATCCGAACAAATCCTATAAGTAATTTTCATTTAAACGTGTTCGAAATGAAGTGAGTTTGCTAATTGTTTCTCTTTTTTTTCTTTATTATCGTGATTTTTAACCGTAGGCGCTTTTCAGCACGTTTGAATTGCATAACTAGAACATGTGATCAATTATTGTGATTATTAAACTTAATCACATTTAAATTTATTGCGTCGCCCAGTCCAGGTCCAACTTTTTGATAAGTAACAAATCGTTAAGACATTCTAGAAATAATTTCTCTGTCCGTTAAGGTATTCATCGTTTCTTGCACCCCTAGTTGAAGTACATACGGTCACAAAACACGGTCCTTTATTACCCAAGATGCATCATACAAGCAAATTTGATTCAAATCTACCTATCTAGCACCCAAATGTTCTTATCTCTACAACATTGAATAAAGCCAAAAATGCTTTATCAGTCTCATAGCGCATTATTGTCGACCCAAGGGACGTGTTATCTTCTAATTGATAACGTAGCTTTTGTGCTATGAATTGTTTAGTAGTTATTGTATGTATATACTGCGCTTATGATTATTAACTCATCGTTATTTTACTCTCCAAGTATTTCTTCACGTTGGGCCAAATTTCGTCAGTCGTTTTACCGCTGAAGGTGACTAGCACTCCCTTCTCGTGGAAGTATTCGTTTAGCGGCCTAGTACATGCATCGTAGATTTCTAAACGCTTCCTAACGGCCACCGGATCGTCATCTGGTCGCTGGGAAAGCGGTTGGCCAGTCTCATCATCCTTCCCCGGTACCCTCGGATCGTTGAATCCAATGTTGTAGACTCTCCCACTAGGCAAATGAACCCAACGGCTTCGTAACCGTTCAACGATCACATCGAAAGGTACATCCAAATTGATAACCGAGTCGATCGTTTCGTGGCGCCATAAATCTTCCGCTTGTTCCGGCGTCCGTGGGAAGCCATCCAAAAGCCAGGAACTGGATTTTAGTTTCCCAAGTTCACCCAAGATACACTTGGTTATGTAAATGTCCGGTACCAGTTTGCCCTCCTTGATGTACTTTTCTGCTATCTGGCCAAGATCTGTATGTTGTTCGATATTACTGCGCAGCATATCTCCACTGGAAATATGTTTCATGTTGAACATTTTCACTATCCGGGCAGACACTGTTCCCTTGCCAGACCCTGGCGCTCCCATGATAACAGCCCGGAATAATTTAGCACTCATTTTTGAATGAACACAGTTTTCTAGAATTTACAATTATATTAATTTTTGTAATACATTTGTTGTTAAATATTATTATTAATTTTCTTACTTGTCGTGAAATGCGTCCAAATATCCGCAACAGTAGAAAACAACTAACAAGTGTTATGTTGAACTTTAGACTTTGAAGCACCTATATTATGCATGTAGTATGAATGAGGAGCGAATGAATGATGCTTCTCTCGTTTATGGCAGTAGTGGATGAAACGTGGTTCTCTCTCTTGCCTAGTTTTGATAGTGTGGGTGAAAAATGAAAAGAAGCCGGGCAGGGTGAGAAAACTATGGGCAGGACACGGAAAGAACAGTTTTGTATAACGTAAACAAAGTTAAAATTCAAAATAACCTAAATAACTATAACTTTCAAAACTTTCTGACGTTGTAAATTTATTTAACTTATTTTTAATACTTTGTATTGATGAAATGATCACATTGTTGTTGATGCATATATTATGTCACGATTTAAGGGGGGATGAGGGATCTAAGATTTTGTGACAAGCAATGCATTAGGTATAGGAAAAATGTTACGATAGGGGGGGAGGGGGTAATGTTTTACTCGATTTAGCGTGACATAATTAATGCATGGGCCCAAACACAATTATATTCTAGGAATCTGTGACATTTTTTATTCAATTTCTCGTGAATTACTTTTTGGATGATCACTTATAAGTGATATATAAAATCAGAAAAATTGGAACCAGAAATTACGACTGTTATGTTTAGAATTCTGTATTGGCGTAAGAATAGTTGAAAGTACCTACACGTAATTTGTACATTACATGGTTTGAAATCGTTGAAAACAAAAACTCAAAGTTTTGCTCATATAATATATAGAGCTGGAATTAGGGCGTAACGCCAGATAAAAAAGTTCCAAATAAAGTCAAATCTTTGCCAAAGCAGACGACATCATTGATAATAGAGGTTTGAAAGCAATCCACGATGATGTCGTGGATATGGCCGACTTATTCGATGTTCCTAATTTTGAATTGCAGTTAACAGATTATACTAAAGCTTATGGTGACTATTGATTATTTTAGATTTTGGATTACATATCCAATCAAATTGTTTTGATTCCAGAAAAATCTTCCGACAAAACGAATTTCGTCAAGATTCGAAAGATTAACGGAGACATAATTGTTGTGAAGATTTCTAGCCTGCTATGGATTTTCCGTAAGCAACGAAGCCGAGTGAGTCCTGATCGCTTGAGGCGTTATGTGCGAGCTGATGGTGGACAAGACGAGAAAGAGGTCAATCTCTCAAAACATTATGGAATCTATAACACCATCACCATAGGAGAATGGTGCACATTTTGGTTTGAAATCCGATTGGCTATTGGGGGATTTAGATAATTTCATACGCATTAAGATTTTCAAGATTAATCAGGGTAAATGCATAATTCAGTACCAACATTTAAAAGGCGCGTAATTGCTTTTATAAACAACGGCTTTAGCCGTCGATTTCTCACAAATAAAAGCTCATTCCTTCAAATCAACAATGCTAGCTAATAGAAACAACATTCCTCTATCTGATAGTACAATTAATTTTCATGAGTGAGTTTTAATCCGCGAGAAATCCACGGCTAAAGCCATTGCTTACAAATGCAATTACGCGCCTTTGAAATGTTGGCACTGAATTATTTCATCAAATATCATGAAAAGAAGATCAAATGCTTTAAAGAGAAGTTTATACCTCAAACAATTTGTATTGATTTTAGTAAAAATATTGGAAAAAGATATCAAAAATGCATGAAAATCAGTTTTTTTTAATTCCTGGAAAATTTACATGCAAAAATATTTTCTCTACAGTCGTCCAACGCAAATAACAGACGCAATAAGCAGATGATGCACATGATAATTCCAGAGTACAAATATTTATGAAATTACTCGAGCTTCTGTTTAATTACCTTTAAAATAACCAAATTATTTTCCAAGCTGTAGGAATTACTGAAATTACTCATAAATTACCCACAATTATTTTTATTACCTTGAAATTACTGAGTAATTCAAAATTAACTAATTATTTTAATAATTTATGGTAATTTTTGATTACCGATCTCCTTACAAGCTTGGTAGAAACCCCGTGGAAATAACCATACTCAGATAGCAGGGTTATTCGATAACTTTCCATCTGTCAAATTTTAACCAAAAGTTAAAAAAATCCACCAAATAGTTCAGAGCCTAAATAGTATAAAAGTTACGCTAAATTGCAAAGGTCGGTATAAAGGGAGAGAATGCAAACTTAGTATAAAAATGGTTTATGCATGGCATAGTATAAAATCGAAATATACTTACAATGCATAGATATGGTTTATCCTAAGGAATGTATTTTCACTTCTTTATTTTATTTATGGTAAATATTATTGTTTTCAACAAAATTAAAATTGTCCCAGAAGGTTTTTTAATTATTTTATTTTTTATGAATATCATTTAAACAAATACACTGATAGGCAAAATAAAGTGCCCACCCCATCATTTTTGAAATTTCTCTCATTTATTTGGTTCAAATTCAAATAAACACACCGTAGTCTGTTTCGATGTCTTACCTTTATTATTCTTTTAAAGTTACACCTATGGAATACTGAAAATATAAAGTTTTACTTGAAGTAAAAGAAAATCAATTTGGATTGAAAAAGAAAACAGTGACAAAAAAAAGTGCCCACTTCAAAAATCGGTATGTTTTCGATAAGTTTCCATCGGAAAACCCCTCGATTGTTTTTGTTTTGAAAGTTTGACATGTATTGAAGCAAACGGGTGGAACTGGTGCATTTGTACACGTGATCGCATTTGAATCAGTTGAAAAAAATGGAGGACGTAGTGATTTCGAAAGCAATTCCCGTGTGTATCCGAAAATTGGTTGTTCGTGATGTGCAAAACGGTGAATCGCACCGGTCTGTCGCTAGGAAGTACAATATCAGCAAAACAGCGGTCGGGAAAATTCTGCAGAAAATGAAATCGTTCGGATCAGTGGTGGATCGCCCTGGCAGAGGCAGGATGCGCAAAACGGATGCGAGAACGGACACCAAGATCATGCGTGAAGTGAAGAAGAACCCGAAGGTAACTGTCCGCGAGATCCAGGAGGCTCTTCAGCTAACAGTTTCCAGTCGAACTGTTCGTCGCCGTCTCGTAGCACAGGGGTTGAACAGCAAAGTTGCTCGGAAGCGCCCATTTATCAGCAAGGCAAACAAAGTCAAACGGCTTAAGTTTGCTAAGGAGCATGCTGATAAGCCCCTAGAGTTCTGGAAAACGGTTCTCTGGACGGACGAATCAAAATTCGAACTGTTCAACCGGAAGCGACGGGTTCGTGTGTGGTGTAGATCGGGTGAGGAGCTTCAGGAGCGCCACATACAAGGCACGGTGAAGCATGGAGGAGGAAATGTGATGGTCTGGGGGTGCTTTTCGTGGGGTGGAGTGGGAAGCCTGGTGAAAATCGACGGGATAATGACGGCAGATTCCTACATCGACATCCTGCGGGAAAATCTGGAAGTTTCGCTGATCCAGACGGGCCTTGAGGAGAAATTCGTATTCCAGCAGGACAACGATCCGAAGCATACTGCCAAGAAGACTAAGTCTTTCTTCCGGTCATGTCGAATTAAACCACTGGAATGGCCTCCACAAAGCCCGGACCTCAACCCCATCGAGAATTTGTGGGCGATTCTCGATGCCAGGGTTGACAAAACTGGTGTTACCAATAAAAATAACTATTTTGAAGCCCTGGAGCGCGCCTGGGAAGAACTAGATCCACAGCACCTGAAGAATCTAGTGGAGAGCATGCCGAAGCGCCTGCAGCTGGTCCTGAAGGCCAAAGGAGGACACATTAACTATTAGGCTGGTATTCTTTTACTTTATTTTATGTTTTCTGGAGTTAAAATGCAGTGGGCACTTTTTTTTGTCACTGTTCTTTTTTACACCCATTTTGATTTTTTTTTCTTCGAGTCAGTCTCTTCTTTTTATCTGGTATTCTATAAGTGAAACTTAAAAAGAATATAAAGAATAAGATATAAAAAATACTACAGTGTATTTACTTTAATTTGAACCAAATAAATGAGAGAAATTCAAAAAATGATGGGGTGGGCACTTTATTTTGCCTATCAGTGTACTTACAATTTCGATGTTCATTAGAATAAACTCGTGCTCACGCAATCTAGCTGCCCAGCAGATCACAGGCGCAGTAGAAAACCGCCGGGACAAAGCTCTTCACCAGCACGAAGCTTCGAAGAGAATCCAGATGTTCTTTTACCTATCAGTTTAGTAAACACTGATCGAATTCCACTCTGTTATTCGGACTTTTGACGAATTTTGACGAAAATTTTATTCGAACCAATGTATACATTTTGAAAAACCATAAAATGCATAAAAATTAATCTATATTCGTTTTGTTTTATTTTTTTTTTGAGTGTAGTAAACAATGAAATCCCTCGATGATTTCTATGAATTCAAGGCACGCCTACATAAAGCAACATATCCGCCTTCATAAAGCAACATATCCGCCTACATAAAGCAACATATGGAAGCCTTCCCCTGCTCGATGGGGATGTCTATTTTCCAGGGAGAGTCACGACTTTCAAGAAATCATCGAGAGAAGTCATTGTTTACAAAAGCTGTTTCGCCGAGTGTTTCGCCCTCAGTCCAGCTCTATCTAGAATATATGATACCGCTTGTGCTTGACACTCTAGTACTCTATAGTATAGTATAGTATAGTATAGTACTATAGTAAAAGTATAGTAGTATCACAGACAAACAGACATAACTCATTGAATATTTCTCACTGTAAAACATCGTCGCTAAAACATTAACGCCATCTGTTGAGTACACTGTGGTGGGTAGTACGCTGAACAGATGGCGGTAGTGTGCAAACGTCAAACGCAGGGGAATTGACTATGCGCGCCACAGGTGGCGGTACTACCAACTATGATACTTTTAAATTGACCGATAAATGCTTGTTCGATGAACAACTTGCGAGTGTTATGTCTGTTTGTCTGTGGTAGTATAGTATAGTACTATAGTAAAAGTATGGACGTCTGTCACCACAAAACTGAAAAAAATTAGAAAATCGAGTAAAGCAGTGTATTTTGACGGTTTGACAACTTTTGACAGACGTTCATACTTGTACACACTTGGTA